ATTGCCTTCACCTGCTTGTAAAAAAATATCTCTAGCTGAGCTTATTGGCATATATTATTTTTCGATTTAAGTATTGTTTTCGTGGCTACCAGTAAATCAGTAATATAAGATGTATTCACCCAATTTCTTCTTCTACCAGTCCTTCATCACCTTAAACGAAGTTGGGTGAATGCATGGCATATATTAATAAACCATTTACTGTGAAAACGCTTATCTTCTGCCTAAACCAACTATCCTCAATTCTTCTAGGAGAATGCTGCTTACATTCATGCTGAAAGATGAAAGAGAAGCACGTGGAAAACAATCGTCAAATGAGACATTCAAGTATAACTTTTTCGTTAATTAAGCTATTACAGTTGATGAAGATAGAATTGCTTTCACTTAAAAGTGAAGCTACATCGTCGAAGGGAGGATACCTCTGTGGCCATTTTGGCTGATAGCAGCCTTGCCCACGAATAATTCACGAGAAGACTTGACTTTTAGGGTGAATCACATATCTCCCTGTATTCCCTAAGACTGCCTTCACCTCCAGCTCTGACTGCAGTTTCCACCTCGCCTCACCTTCTCAACCGTAGTCCCAGTAGGTATCGGGGCCAGCAAGTTCGCTGATCGACTTCGACTGAAGGGACAATGGGACAAGTTCGAGGTTTCAATGGAGGCTAGTCGAAAAAGGATCTCGAAGATAACTGGACATGTGAAGCAGCACGAGCCTCATCGCTGGCATGTTCACTAACAGACTGGAAGAAAAACAAGTCAAAATTACCATCTTCCCATAGGCAGCTTTTGTATATCTATCTGGAGCTTGGCAACTGTGGCTCTTGATGAAAACTCCGAGTCTCACTGGCAGAGCCGAGATGGGAGGATACTTTCAGAAGTGAGGTTGCACCAAAGTGACGCACCTTCAATACCGGTAGAACAGTCTATCTGACACATAGATCTCCAATTAACTGACATCGCTTCCAGTAACTAATACTTATGCGTTTGTCATAATGCCACCATGAACTTGGGCCAAAGAAATTTCCGTACGTCTGGAAGGATCTTTGAAGCATGTCAGATTTTAGTTGAATGAAAGATTCAGGTTTCGTTTTTGAGTAAGTTTTAGAGACTGCCATTAATTCAGATATATGCGATTTGTTCACTCTAGTTCGTTTATGATGATAAACGACTGGTAGTTTGAATTTTCCCACAATGCTATGAGTAGACATGACGTTTCCAATGAATTTCACATAGCTGCAATGCCATGGTTCGAGTCCCGCTGGGGATGTTGATAAGATCTAGACGAGGTCGAAATAGCAGCCCACTCCTGCCTGGACGAGAATAGCTTTCGGGAAACAAGGCTATGTGAACTTGAATGGAAATGTAAAGTCTACTCATATGATTTTGGGAAAATTCAAACACCAGTCCTTCTTCACCTCAAACGAAATAAGGTGAACACATCTCATAAATCTGACAGATTTGTAGGCAAGAGCCGACTATAGATCCCGGTATTCATTTAAGGTCTTCTGGTGGTATATTAGAACAACCACAGAGCGCCCGATGGATTTCATAGATAATACATTTGAATGACAAATGCCAGAAACCTTTTTTGTGATCAGATAATTTTTGCGAAGGCTTTTACCTTTTTCTCCACAAGCTTCATTACGATTTCCTCCAAGTAGCTTTCCATTTCAGGCCTTCGGACAAACGGTTCCAGCTAATAAAAAACAGACAAATTCAAACGATTAATTAGAACGCAAATTGCAAAAGAGCCTGGATAAAGGTGGATTGAATTAAATTTTTAGTAAACTATATATATATGTATATCTAACTCATTATACATAAATATTAAATATTAAATATATATATATATAATAAACAAATTATTTTTTAAATCGATACATAAAGATAGTATTAGGAAATGTCTATGAGAAAAAAGGAAAATTTCAGTAATTCCGAGTGTATGAACAATGCATTTGAACGGTAACTTTCTCATGTTTACGTAGGATACCATTTAGTAAAAAGGTCCTGATAATGTGTGCTTTTTCTGTTAGTGGAACTATTACCAACACGAGTAAAAGAAGTTCGCCTATAGTTGCTATGACAGCAGAGAAAGGATAGGCCCAGCTGAACTCGAACGGAGGTTGATAAGGCGCCCTGCTGCTTTGTATGATCACGTCATACTAGGCTCATGTGGTCGGTGATCCTCAAATCCTAATACTTTTTTTCTACTGTCTCGACCACTCCCCCCCTCGGTCAAAGAAATCCACCCATTTCAAGCTCAGCGACCCGGTTTCAATATTCAGGTCACTCCTTCTTTCAGTCCTCCGGTTCGGTATC